GTACTATAAAAACTGGCTATGTAGTCAGCTGGTCTCTGCCTTTCTGCTGCAACGTCCATCCTCAGACACTGTGGGGCCCTGTACCGCTCCTCTCGCGTTCCGCTGCCATGGCCAGCAGGTCACAGGGGTGGGGTGGTAGGAGCAGTGGCAGCTCCACCAGCAGCTGGCTGCCTCAGTCTGCAGTCGATGATGAGTAGCTTTCTTCACCAGCGCAGTGAGGAAACTACTAACCAGCCGCAGCAGCAGCAGCATCAGGTGGACCTGGAGCAGGACCTCAAACAACAGGCTTAGGCCTACTTGGACAGCACCCTGCCAACCGAGGTAGACAATCCCCTTCCTACTGGGCAACGAAACTTGACCTTTGGCCCCAACTAGCTGAATTTGCCCTTGAAAGTGCTGCAGATGCCCGGCCAGTAGCGGGCCATCCATAGCTGTTTGCCAGGCCCCTATTGTAACTCCGCGGATGGACTGTCCCCCAACCGACTCACGTTTGCTGCTGCCAATCAGAGTCGTGGATTCATGGATTTCCTGTACCACCAGTTCCTGACACAACTGACTGTCCGCCATGAATCATGCCACACTCTGCCATGTGCCACTTTCAGGTCTCCTCACACTGCTGGTGTGTTCCATTTTTTGTCATAGGGTGCTGGCAGATTACGGGCCTCCCATAGCTGCTGCCAGGCCCCTAATCTGCCATGGGCCCCTGTACCGCCTCCTCTCATGCTGCTGCCAGGTCCAGAGTGTCTCATGGGTCCCTGTACGGCCTCCCATTGCTGCTGTCTCCATCGCCACACTCTGCCATGTGCCACTTTCAGGTCTCCTCACACACTGCTGGTGTGTTCCATTTTTTGTCATAGGGTGCTGGCAGATTACGGGCCTCCCATAGCTGCTGCCAGGCCCCTAATCTGCCATGGGCCCCTATACCGCCTCCTCATGCTGCTGCCTCCTCAGAGTGCTGCTGCCTGTACGGCCTCCCAGTGCTGTCTCCATCGCCACACATGCCATGTGCCACTTTCAGGTCTCCTCACACTGCTGCTGGTGTGTTCCATTTTTTTTGTCATAGGGTGCTGGCAGATTACGGGCTCCCATTGCTGCTGCCAGGCCCCTAATCTGCCATGGGCCCCTGTACCGCCTCCTCATGCTGCTGCCAGGTCCAGAGTGTCTCTCATGGGTCCCTGTACGGCCTCCCATTGCTGCTGTCTCCATCGCCACACTCTGCCATGTGCACTTTCACTTTCAGGTCTCCTCACACTGCTGGTGTGTTCCATTTTTTGTCATAGGGTGCTGGCAGATTACGGGCCTCCCATAGCTGCTGCCAGGCCCCTAATCTGCCATGGGCCCCTGTACCGCCTCCTCATGCTGCTGCCAGGTCCACAGTGTCTCATGCCATGTGCCACTTTCAGGTCTCCTCACACTGCTGGTGTGTTCCATTTTTTGTCATAGGGTGCTGGCAGATTACGGGCCTCCCATAGCTGCTGCCAGGCCCCTAATCTGCCATGGGCCCCTGTACCGCCTCCTCATGCTGCTGCCAGGTCCACAGTGTCTCATTGCCATGTGCCACTTTCAGGTCTCCTCACACTGCTGGTGTGTTCCATTTTTTGTCATAGGGTGCTGGCAGATTACGGGCCTCCCATTGCTGCTGCCAGGCCCCTAATCTGCCATGGGCCCCTGTACCGCCTCCTCATGCTGCTGCCAGGTCCACAGTGTCTCATGGGTCCCTGTACGGCCTCCCATTGCTGCTGTCTCCATCGCCACACTCTGCCATGTGCCACTTTCAGGTCTCCTCACACACTGCTGGTGTGTTCCATTTTTTGTCATAGGGTGCTGGCAGATTACGGGCCTCCCATAGCTGCTGCCAGGCCCCTAATCTGCCATGGGCCCCTGTACCGCCTCCTCATGCTGCTGCCAGGTCCACAGTGTCTCATGCCATGTGCCACTTTCAGGTCTCCTCACACTGCTGGTGTGTTCCATTTTTTGTCATAGGGTGCTGGCAGATTACGGGCCTCCCATAGCTGCTGCCAGGCCCCTAATCTGCCATGGCCCCTGTACCGCCTCCTCATGGGCTGCTGCCAGGTCCACAGTGTCTCATGCCATGTGCCACTTTCAGGTCTCCTCACACTGCTGGTGTGTTCCATTTTTTGTCATAGGGTGCTGGCAGATTACGGGCCTCCCATTGCTGCTGCCAGGCCCCTAATCTGCCATGGGCCCCTGTACCGCCTCTTCATGCTGCTGCCAGGTCCAGAGTGTGTCATGGGTCCCTGTACGGCCTCCCATTGCTGCTGCCAGGAGGCAGCAGGGTCGCAGCAGTGTCAGTGGAGGCAAACGGGCCGGAGTAGAGCACCAGCTCCACTGCAGCCTACCACCACGGCCAGTAGTGGTGCCGGTGTGCACGGAGGAAGTAGCAGTCAGCCAGTGAGGAGTAGCGGGGGCAAAGTTTCCTATCGGCGGTGTGGCAATTTTTCGTCAAGCCGCCCGAGGAAGTAAACGTAGCCGTATGTCGACTATGTGGCCAGAAAGTCAAGCGTGGCCAGGGGGCCCATGTTGGGACTACAGCGTTGCGTCAGCATATGCAGCGTCGCCATTCGGTGGCCTGGGAAAACCGTGATAAAGATACGGCGGTTCTGCCTGCCCCAGCCCAGGGTTCCATTTTGTCATAGGGTGCTGGCAGATTACGGGCCTCCCATTGCTGCTGCCAGGCCTTAATCTGCCATGGGCCCCTGTACCGCGCTCTCCTCATGCTGCTGCCAGGTCCACAGTGTCTCATGGGTCCCTGAACCGCCTCCCATTGCTGCTGTCTCCATCGCCACACTCTGCCATGTGCCACTTTCAGGTCTCCTCACACTGCTGGTGTGTTCCATTTTTTGTCATAGGGTGCTGGCAGATTACGGGCCTCCCATTGCTGCTGCCAGGCCCGTAATCTGCCATGGGCCCCCGTACCGACTCCTCATGCTGCTGCCAGGCCCGTAATCTGTCATGGGCCCCTGTACCGCCTCCTCATGCTGCTGCCAGGTCCAGAGTGTGTCATGGGTCCCTGTACGGCCTCCCATTGCTGCTGTCTCCATCGCCACACTCTGCCATGTGCCACTTTCAGGTCTCCTCACACTGCTGGTGGTTTCCATTTTTGTCATAGGGTGCTGTATGGCCTCCCATTGCTGCTGCCTCCACCGCCACACTGTGGCTCCACACTCTGGTTTTGGCCCCGTGACTGCCCAAATGAGTGAAGTGTGCGGTGATTCTAAGATCGACGGCACTCATCTGCATGTCATACTGACTGTCAGTATTATTTCTCTTCCCCAGCAGACTCCAAGGGCATTTAAATTAAAGGTACAGTGTTCTGCACTAATATTAAGTCTCTCTGAAGCCTAGAAACACCCTTTTATAAGTTAAATTCGCAGCGAATATATTCGACTCGAATCAAAATTTTTTCACGAATTCGCCGAATCAGTCGAATCGAATTTTTGAATAATTCGCTCATCTCTAGTCAGGACAGTACAGATATCCCCCAAATGTCAGAACAGTACAGAAATCCCCCAAATGTCATGACAGTACAGATATCCCCCAAATGTCAGGACAGTACAGATATCCCCCAAATGTCATGACAGTACAGATATCCCCCAAATGTCAGGACAGCACAGATATCCCCCAAATGTCAGAACGGTATAGATATCCCCCAAATGTCAGAACAGTACAGATATCCCCCCAAATGTCAGAACAGTACAGATATCCCCCAAATGTCAGAACAGTACAGATATCCCCCAAATGTCAGAACAGTACAGATATCCCCCAAATGTCAGGACAGTACAGATATCCCCCCAAATGTCAGAACAGTAGATATCCCCCAAATGTCAGGACAGTACAGATATCCCCCAAATGTCAGGACAGTACAGATATCCCCCAAATGTCAGAATGGTGCAGATATCCCCCAAATGTCAGGACAGGACAGATATCCCCCCAAATGTCAGGACAGGACAGATATCCCCCAACTGTCAGAACAGTACAGATATCCCCCAAATGTCAGGACAGTACAGATATCCCCCAAATGTCAGAACAGTACAGATATCCCCCAAATGTCAGAATAGTACAGATATCCCCCAAATGACCCCTTTTTGCAGAGTAGACAGTCCGACGTACTTCATAAGAGGAATGGCGAGTTTTTTGAAGTTGTATTTTTTGTCATAATTGTTCGGGAAAATGAAAAAATAAAAAACATTATTTTCACTTTTTTTTTTTTTACATACTGTCATCAGTGCAGTACAGCGTCATCATATAACTGGCATGGCGGTGATCAGGGACACTGACTGGTGACAGTGTGAAAAAAAAAATGGTTAAAAATGAAAAAAATACATGGATGCACCCAACACGGATACTAATTTCATTTTATATATAAAAAAATCACCAGCGCCAAAACTGTGAAATTATATGCTAAATAAATAAATAAATGCTGCTGCTTATTAGTGTAAACAACAAAAAGTAATATAAGACATCAAAATAGCGCAGATATATAAATAAATATACACTCCAGTGAAAAATTAAATAATAATTCATAAAATATTAATTAATAAAAAATATATAAAAAATTTAAATTAAAAAGTCCCACTCCAAATCAATAAAGTGAAAAATAAAAATAAAAAAAATATTCATAAAAGTCGTTTTTCTAAAAAAAAGACACACAGAGGATGGCTCGAGTGCGAGTGCACATGAGTGCCCCCAGAACAAGCAGCTTGCTCTGGGGGCACTCAGCAAGAGGGAGGCGCAAGAGGGAGGCGCCAGGAGCAGTGGGAGACCCAAGAAAAGGAGGATTGGGGCTGATCTGTACAAAACCATTACATAGAGAAGGCAAGTATGGCATGTAACTCGGGCGGACTGACCATTCAGGAACTCGGGCACTGCCCAAGGGCCCAAGGTCAGTAGGGGGCCCCATGATATGCCCCTGGTACCTTTCATAGGCTTTTTTGGGTGTGGTTTGAGTGTGGGCGAGGACACAGGGGCCCCATGATCCCCTATTGCCTGGGGGCCCCATGAGTTGTTAGTCCGCCCCTGGGCATGTTTGTTATTTTTTTTAAAAATCTGAACATTTCATCTGTATGAAGTCACATTAAAAATGTGTTTTCAGCATTTTTGCATTAGCTTTTACCTGCATTTTTCCTCATTTGCGTTTTTAAGCATTTTTTAGCGTTTCTTCCACAAGAAAAAATGTTTGGCTCAAAAAAATGTTGGTTTGCCAAATTTTACCATGTTTTACAGCGTTTTTCCACATTTTTCAGCAACAGAGCGTTTTTACAGCTAAAAATTAATCTAGAAACCCTCTAGTTCTGGGATTTTTTTCCAGCCAGAAAATGCTGATTCCAGTCTATGTGTGAATGGACACACAGGATAACATGCCGGGGATGGACACATAGGATAACATGCCAGGGATGGACACATAGGATAACATGCTGGGGATGGACACATAGGATAACATGCCGGGGATGGACACATAGGAGAACATGCCGGGGATGGACACACAGGATAACATGCCGGGGATGGACACACAGGATAACATGCCGGGGATGGACACATAGGATAACATGCCGGGGATGGACACACAGGATAACATGCCGGGGATGGACACATAGGATAACATGCCGGGGATGGACACACAGGATAACATGCCGGGGATGGACACATAGGATAACATGCCGGGGATGGACACCTAGGATAACACGCCGGGGATGGACACATAGGATAACACGCCGGGGATGGACACATAGGATAACATGCCGGGGATGGACACATAGGATAACATGCCGGGGATGGACACATAGGATAACATGCCGGGGATGGACACCTAGGATAACATGCCGGGGGGATGGACACGTAGGATAACATGCCGGGGATGGACACGTAGGATAACACGCCGGGGATGGACACACAGGATAACATGCTGGGGATGGACACATAGGATAACATGCTGGGGATGGACACATAGGATAACATGCCGGGATGGACACATAGGAGAACATGCCGGGGATGGACACATAGGAGAACATGCTGGGGGGTTTACTGGCTGTACAAAAAAAACGCCAAAAGCCAAAAACAGCCGCTGTAAAAAAACGTCCCGTTTGCATGAGGACTTAGTATCACTTTAACTTTTTTCTCTCTGCAGAAAAAAAAAATAAATAAAATTCAATGCACTTATAAAAACCATCTTAAAGCAGAGTTCCACTCAAAAGCGGAAGCTCCACTTATTTGCCTCCTCCCCCTCTCCACTGCCATATTTGGCACCTTTTGGGGGGGGGGGGAAATGGGTACCTGTTTTTGACTCCCACTTCTGGTCCACTTCGCCGCGGTGAACTGAGCCGGAGGTTTGCCCCCCCCTCCTCCCTCCTGTTGTCTTATGGGAACCTTCACAGGTCCCAGGAGACTGTCGGACCAATTAGAAGGCGCAGCGTGACTCACGCATGTGCAGTGGGCACAGGGCTGCTATTAGAAACCACGGAGCCCCATACAGCCAACCTCACAGGGCCCCCTCTAAAAAACAAAAAAAGTACACAGTTTACTAAGCTTCAGTTATGAATGAACACAGTGAGTGATTATTACCGATCATTAACTGTGTCAGGGAATTAAGGGGCTGATAAATGTGATGTATTTTACCGGACTCTTCCTCTACTCTCCATCATGAAGGATCCTATTGAGTGCTTGCAGCTGCCAGGTAGAAGGAGAGGAGGGAAGCCGGCAGCACTGCGGGGGTGGGGGACACACAGGGGGGCCTGGGCAGCAGGGGGAAATGTATGATGCACAGGGAGGGAGATGGGTGCAGTAGGGGGTAATTACTGGAACTGATCCCCTGTATGGCTCTTCTCTGCATCAGCTGAAAACCAGCTGGAGAGAGAGGAGAAGAAGCCAGCATTCAGCTGCTGCAGAGAGACATACAGGGGATCGGTTCCAGTAATTGCCCCTTAGCTGTGCCGATCACCCTCCCTGCATCTGATTCACCCAGCTGCCTGGGCCCCCCTGCTGGCCTTGGGTCCCCGTACAGGAGGACTGCTGGTACCCCCTTATTCACGGCCCTGAGTGAGCACCAGGCTGTGAAGTCGCAAGCTGTCACAGCCTGGTGCCCACAGTTGAGATGTCGGTGGTGCCGTGGAGGAGAGAAGGGGAGAAGGGACGGTGCGGGTGAGAACATCGCTGGACTCCGGGACAGGTAAGTGTGTGTTTCTGTTTTTGTAGCTGCTGACTTTTAATAAACACAAAAACAGCTGGAACTCCACGAGTGAACCTGACTGGATCTCCCTTTTGCAAAATTTTTTTGTGAAAATTGGAACATTTTGTAAAAATTTTCACTGAAATGTGTCGGCACATTTTAGTGAAAATTGTTACAAAATTTTTTACAAAATGTTCCAATTTTCACAAAAAAGTTTGCAAAAGGGAGATCCAGTCAGGTTCACTCGTTCTTAGTGGCAATAATAAAGATAATAATAATAACAAATAATAATGCCAATAATAACAAATAATAATAATAATACTACTACTAATAACAAATAATAATAGTAATAATATTAATATTAATAAAAATAGTAATGACAATACTACTACTAATAATAATAATAATTAAAAATAATAATAATATTAATAAAAATAATAATGTCAATACTACTACTACTACTACTACTACTACTATGTCTACTAACTACTACTACTACATCTAATAATAATAATAATAATAATAATAATAAATAATAATATTAATAATAATAATAATAATGTCAATACTACTACTAATAATAAAAAATAATAATAATATTAAGAAAAATATTTAATGTCAATACTACTACTACTGTTAATAATAATAATAATAAAAAAAAATAATAATATTAATAATAATGTCAATACTACTACTACTAATATAAATAAAAAATAATAATAATATTAATAAAAATAATAATGTCAATACTACTACTACTACTACTACTACTACTACTACTACTAATAATAATAATAATATTAATAATAATGTCAATACTACTACTACTACTAATAATAAAAAAAATAATAATAAAAATAATAATACTACTACTACTACTACTAATAATAATAATAATAATAAAAAAATAATAATAATAATAATGTCAATACTACTACTACTAATAATAAAAAAAATAATAATAATATTAATAATAATAATAATAATAATGTCAATACTACTACTAATAATAAAAAATAATAATAATATTAAGAAAAAATATTAATGTCAATACTACTACTACTGTTAATAATAATAATAATAATAAAAAAAAAATAATAATATTAATAATAATGTCAATACTACTACTACTAATATAAATAAAAAATAATAATAATATTAATAAAAATAATAATGTCAATACTACTACTACTACTACTACTACTACTACTAATAATAATAATAAAAAAATAATAATAAAAATAATAAGTCAATACTACTACTACTACTAATAATAAAAAAAAAATAATAATAAAAATAATAATATACTACTACTAAAATAATAATAATAATAATAATAATAATAATGTCAATACTACTACTACTAATAATAAAAAAATAATAATAATATTAATAAAAATAATAATTTGTCAATACTACTACTACTACTACTAATAATAATAATAAAAAATTAAAAATAATAATAATAATAATAATGTCAATACTACTACTACTAATAATAACAAATAATAATAATAATAATAATAATAAATAATAATAATAATGTCAATACTACTACTAATAATAATAATAATAATAATAATAATAATAATATTAATGCCAATACTACTACTACTAATTGTAGTAACAAATAATAATAATAATAACAACAATACTAATAATATTAATTATTATTATCATTATTGTTATTTGCCATCAAGTCTCTTGTGAGCCCCCTGGAGATCCTCAAAGTCTGTTGCCCAAGTCCCACCGATGGCACAGAACGGGCCAAGGATTCCCATGCGGCGCAGATCTTGGCGACGATTTATTTCAGATCAAAGACGGAGGAAGAATTTGCAGTCAATATGCTTTCACTTCATATGATGTCATAGCTGTTTATTGTTTCATTCCGGGATAATGAATTGCCTAAATTGGTAAAGAGGCAACAACGCCATTAAGCTCGCCGGGTTTCCACATTTAGCAAACTGCTAATACGTTGCAGATTGCAAAATGGCGTCAGGATGGAAAACGAGAGAAAAAATATTGCCGGCTTTCTCCGGAGACATAAACATCAACATCTTGTACTGTTGAGAGTGTTTTTTCCTCCTGGCTTTATTCAATTAGAAATAAGCTATTATGTGGCTTACAAGTGCCACGCCGTGTTCTGCCTCGGAATGTCTCCCCCCCCCCTCCCATGGCACGTTGGGTGTGGGGGGGGGGGGGACTGTTAAAGGGGCATCCCATCTTCCAGGGGAATTGTAGATCCATCCTAATTGTATCTGCTGAATGCAGACATTGTAGCACTTTGCGATTCCTCCTGTATACATTGTTACCATCACATACACCAAGCCCAGTTGATATTTATTGCAATTGATAAAAAAAATCTTTTTTTTTTAAATTTTTTACAAATTTACCAGTTTTTGACTAATTCTTCTAATAGGTTTTCATGCTGTCACTCACCTTTACAGCGCCTGTGTTTTACAAGGGCGACCTCATTCTGCATTATGACCATCAGCTTCAAATGATTGAGGACTGCTAACTAGCTAAAGAGGTTACAAGTCTGCGCAGAAAAAGTCTCACACCATCGGAGGGTACGCGGTTCTGCGCATTACCACGTGTTTCCGCTCATCGCATGTAGAGGAGCCCGATCATGTCAACAGGTTGCCCTTCACGCGAGAAACGCTCGAAAGAGATCCCTGACCCTTGTGAGAAATGTATGACGCTACGGCACAGCAGATGTGTGGGGCTGCCATTGAAAATGAATGGCGCTGCCATGCGTCTGCAAAACGGCAGAACGCTTCTCTGCGTCGTGGGAAAGTGCGTATTCCCGCAATAAAAAAAAAATGAGCCTAGCCTAAATTCAGCAGCAATATGATTTTTCAGAAAGACTCCCGATTTTTTTTTTTGCTTTTTTTTTTAATTTTTTTTAATTAATTTTTTTTTTTTTTTTTTAAATTTAAATTTTTTTTTTTGTTACAATTTTTTCTTTTCATAAAAAAAAAATTAAAAAGAAAAAAAAACCACAAACAACACAATCAGAAGCCATTTAAAACTCCATGCACCATTACAAAACTACCTTCATTTTACCTTCTCTGCTGACTCCAGATACAAGTTTGTAAAATTTTGGTAAAATGTCCCAACTTTAATCAGGGATTAGGCCTAAACTAACAGTTTAAATATATATTATGAATGGGCCACTTTAATTGGTTCTGCTGGTTACTGATCTGTGAGCTACAAGAGAACACTATGAATTCAGACGAAGGACAAATTTTTTTTTTTTTTATTACGACAAAATACACTAAAATATGAGTATTTTGTTCAAGAAAGAAAAATACTATAAAATATTAAATATTAAACTGAAAGTGACAACAAAGGAACAGACAAAAAAAATATTTTTTTTTTGCTATCTCTGTATTTTTATTCAAGAATGATAAAGACTGCTAAAAATGTAAATATAAAATTGTCTACTCTACTGTGGTTATTTAAAATTTTAAGTAAAATTCTATAAAGACGATTGAACAAGAAAATATAAATATATATAATTGAAAGTGACAGCATTTCTTTTTTTTTTTTTTAACTTTTTTTTTTCTATTTTTGTATTGTATTCAAGAAAGAAATTTTTAAAAAAAAAATGTAAATGTAAAACTGAAGGTGACCATAATTTGGTGGTTTTTTTTTTTTTTTTTTTTTTTACTTTTTATAAAATAAATAAAAGAAAAACAAATACATACACTAACATCACCATCAACATCACACTAACATCACCATCAACACTCACATATCTAGA